AATCTTATAATTTGTAACTTTATGTAATCCTTAATAAATGCCGTTCTAGCAGTTTTCTGTATTTTCACCACTGACAGGATCCAGGCAAACAAAGCTAAATGATTTCTGTAATGCCAGCCAGAAGCTGAACTGAAGATAAAGGGATAGAAACTGTCCTGCTTTTCAAATTTGGAATATTTCTGTATATAAAAATATCTAAGCCCACTCAAGTATTCTCTAACAGGGACAGAATGAATTTGCTCTACTATAACCCCATTCCTTTAATGAACATGCATCATTCTGTGCTGTGCCCGGCAGATGTAATAATAGCAATGTCTGGCGAGCTTCTGCAAGGAGCCCTGCAATGAAAGCACCTTCCCCTCCCGCCAAGTTAAAAGAGAACAGGCTGACATGTATTGGAAATGCACGGGCAATATAATGATAGCAAATTGCTTTGAAAAGAAAAAGGTTCCACGGCGCATATGTCATTTCAATCCCCCGCTCTGAGGCAGTGCTTCAGCTCCATCCTCTGTGCCTCCCTCCAGATCTACCCTCTCCCTCACCCCTGCCTTTGGGGAGAGCACTCCCTGCACTGTAGATCAAAAGCAGCATCTTCACTACAAAGGAGAAGAGAGTTCGCGTGTCTGTACTGCTCCCCCAACTCAGAAAGGGGCAGCTTTGCTACCCCCTTCATCACTCTTCTAAGAGCACACTGGAAAAATTCATTCCTTTTGGTCCCTCCTGATGAATTCCTCTGACTGGGACATTCCTGCTAGTGCCTGTTTCCCAGTTCAGCCCCGTCCGGGCTGTGCCATGAGGCTTTTGTCACAACAATGGTTCTTCTGAGATGATGACAGAACATCATCTAACACCCAGGAAAATGGGGCTTAGCCATTATTTCTAGAATATATTTAAGCCCTTTGGGAGGTTGCTATTGAAAAGGCCAGGGATGCTGATTATAATTTTTTATTCTGATGTCTAGCAAATATAAAGATTGTCTGCTATGCTTAGGAGGAGCTTAGTTTTCAATACGCTGAAGGGGCTGCCACCGTGGGTCCGGAGCTGTCAGGCATGAAGGGAGATCATGTTATCTCCTCATTTATCCCTCTGGACACTTTTCTCATCCACCCTCTACTTCCTTGACCCCTGGGTTGTGTTTGTGCAATTCCAAATGCATTTTACAAAGTGCTGTTTTCATTTCTGCTCAAAACTTCTCGGTTTTTTCAGCTGTGTGAAAAAAATCCCAATTGCGAAATGGTGTAAATCACACTCATCCACCTTTCTGATGTGCAATGCGGTCAGAGTATCTGGACATCGTCAGGGCATTGTAGTGCATATCCCAGGGTGACTTTGTTATAAGAAAAGAGTTTAATTTTTTCCTCTTTTGTAACCTTGTGAAATTTCCACATTAAAAAGCAATCACATCTTTCAAACCAGCAATGATTGTGTTTGGCATCATGGCTGCAAACCCCCAGTGTGCAGGGCTGAGCTTGTTTTCACTAAAATGAAATCAGCTTTCAAAATAAATGATCTGCAACAACATTATATTCCCCAAATCTTATAATCCTATTAACATAGTTGATTTTTTTTCCTTTTTTTCCCTTCTTTTTTTTTCCTCATTGCCACCAAACTGACAAGAATGGCCCTGTTTCAAGGGATAGAAACAGAAAGTCAGTTGAGGATGTAGCCAAGACATGCACTGCAAGCTTAGGACCGGCCCTGCCAGAGCCTGTGGTTAGAAGCTCTTAACAACTATTGTAAGCCCTTAAATACAATCATCTGTATTTCACCTCCACCTAATGTACTTCATGTGTAGCATGTTTATCTGTTCGCACAGTCTTTCAAGAGACTCAACAAACAGCCCTGTTTGCAGAAGCGAGAGGGGAATGGGTTGCCTCGACTCTCCCAATGAATGAGGCTTCTATCAAAAATGATATGGCGGTGCCAATGTGGTGAAGGGAAATGTCTCCAAATTAGCCTGGGCAAAAATCTCTTTGCCAGAAGTGGAAATTACGTGGTAATATCAAAAGGCAACTTTACTTATATATAATTCCAGGTTTCTCTGCAAGTATTTTTTTTGGAAGAAAGTCAGGGGGACTCAATCTTGTGCAGCTTTTGCTAGTCTTCCCCTCCATGCCCTTCCTATGGAGGCGTCCAAGGCCCCCACCTCTTGCAGGCACAGTGCACCTTGGAGTCACCTTACTTTCTTAAACTCTGACTGAAAAGGTGCAATAATTGGCCCAGGAGGGAGAAACACTCATGATCACGGCAAAAATTTTTTCTTTTCCTTTTGGAGGCAGGAGGAAACAGCCAGAAAGTGTTGAGACCATACAGAAGGAGCATGGGAGGCTCACTATCCCACTCCAATGCTTCTGTGATGATGTCTCCTGGGGGGCTGCACCTGCTGAAAAACTGGGTGTGCCCTGCAAACCCCACATTTATGAGGGGTCACAGCTTCCAGGGGCATGGTGTGCCAGCAGCCTCTGTAGGCTGCCAAGCGTTGATGTGCAGCATTTGCAACGAAAATGTGTCAGGCTCTTCCAGCTGCACTTTGGGTGCCCAGCAAAGCCTAGAGAGCAACCTGAGGTGTGCATGCAAGCATGCATGGGACCCCCAGACACCTTTTGCTGCAGTAAAACACTGACTGGGGAATGTAAACATGACCTTTATTTTTTTACATTTTCCTTTTATTAGTTCAGCAGGACAACAGTGGTCTCCTAACGCTGGCAGGGCCCTGCAGCTGCAGGAGAGTGGGTCTCGGCACAGTAGCCTCCAGTCAGAAGCTGCGGTTGCGATTTCAGCTGCCGCCGGCCCGAGCACTGCTGCTCCCTCCCTTGTTTACTAAATGGCTTTGTGACAGCTTTATGTGAAATTTAAAACTGTAAAGTAAAAACATTAGATTATAAAGTCAGGAGGCACAGTCCTCTCTCTTAAAACGTTACACCTGCTTCTCATCTCCTTGCCTCTTGCTAATGCTGCCAGCTGAAAAGTATTTTTGACAAACTGTGATTAATAAATCACATCAGGTCAAATCTGCTGCCACTGAAAGCCAGGAGAGCTGTGCTGCTGATGATGTTGGGAGACCTTCAATCAGGATTGCAGACCTAGTTTTTCAAAAACCAGTGCTGAAATCCCTAGAGTAATAAAGTTGGTTTAAAAATCAGGAGATTTTTAGGTCTAGGAAACAGGGACTTTATTTTATCTGACTTCTGATTTTTAAACCTCTAGAAGATTATATGGCTGAATTTTGCTGTGTAACCAAGAAGATTTGAGGCTTCAAAAAGTAAACAAAGGAAAGCTGATACTCTGCCAGATCACTTCTGCCAGGAGCTGGGATTTCTGTTGGGCAAAATATCTCAATATTTGCGGCAAAATCTTCAGGGCTACAGCATAGGCCCACAGACCAGTCAAAACATTCACATCTAGCTGCAATTTGGAAAATGTATGAGCTCCTTAGGAACTGTGTGCAACTTCCCAGCCCTGCTGATGTAAATGGGATCTGGTATGTAAAATTGCTGCTTGGGCAAGTAACTTCAGGACCAGACTCAAAAAGTATTACAGTCTCTTCCACTATTATGGTTTTAATAACTGCATGTTCCATGTGAATGGTTGTTGGGATGTTGTTAGCCTTCCAGTAACAAATAAACATACATATTGAAGACAGAGCCAAACTGCATCTGTTCACTGCATTCATTAAATGCTCCTCAGGTGTAAGACTAGATATTGAAATTAATTACATGAATTAGGTACAGGTTTGCCTACAGCTTCTCCAGTGCACTCTGCTTAGGTATGGGTTCTTCTCTAACTTAATCTTCTATTAAAATATGAAGGTAGAATTGACAAGAATTCACAGGCATCTCCACAAATCTGCTGTGGACTTGGCTGCATTCTGTGGACTTGTTTGTGTTCCACTTACAGACCTCCTGGTGAAATCACAGCACAGATTTGTTCAGAAATTACATCTAGATAGTGCCTGTTGCGCAGTTTCTTTTGTTTTTACAAAGGAAATTATTTAAAAGGCTGTCTAGTTTAAAGTACTGACAGTGTTCTTAATTCCAGTAATACCATTGCAAACACCTAATGCTGTGTGTAAAATAGAGCAGATCCGTCCTCTGGCTTTGCCCTCATTTTCAGGGGGTTCAGACCACTTGAAATCTGAATCTGCTAAACACTGCCTCACTTCCCCAAGCACTCTCCTCATCTTAATGCTGGAGGGGGCAGAGTGAACGCAGACTGCTACGTGCAGAATTAAGTATTTGGATAAATATCTTGCTGAACTGGAATCTTTCTGGGAAGGGCTGGATGTGAGCACTGAAGTGTGATGCCGATGGAGGGGTTGTATAATCCTTTTCTTTTCAGAGCTCTTCACCATCCAAGACAAGTGTTGTAATAACAAACAAATATAGGCAGGCAATGATTTGGGAAGAAATCTGGGTGAGATTTTCACAGGAGCAAGGGAGATTGAGGTGTATGAGTCTCACTTTTTATTTGGGATTGGGTAAACTCAGATTCTTAAGCAGGTTTGATAATGCCAGTGTATATGCTAATTCCTGCCTATCAAGATTTTACCATAAACAGTGGTAGAAAAAAGTACTGGAGTAATTATGAAAAATATACTGACATTTTCCTTTTAAGAAATTTCAGCTTTTTTTTTTTTTTTTCCTGAAGAAACAGTTTTCTAAGGCAATTTACTCAGACAATAATAGAAGTGTATTTATGTAGCTGAAAAGATTAGTAACTCTCTTGAGAGAAAACAACAGATTCCATATACCCATTGGGGAACTACCTCAACTCACAGCTGCAGACCAAAAGAATAAGATCCACCAGAGCTTATGCCAAGAGGAGCCGTCCTGTGCCCCACCTCACTGGACTGTCCTTTGCTGGCAGCCCCTCTGCAAACCTTGACTGCTGTGCATATGAGCCCAGAAGTCTAACTGCTGGTGTTTGCACTGCAGAAGTGTTCAGTCAGCACAGCATAAACTTATAAAGTGCTCTCCAAACAGGCAGAGGCCTCGATGAAGTTTCCTCTCCAGTTGTTCCAAAGCCCCAGCCAAAAATCTCAGTGGGATTTCCCAGAGGAATTGCTGATCAAGCACAGCAGAGCTGCAGCCAAACACCAAGGCTGGAGGTTTGTATATTTGCTGTTTTCTTCCCCAGACTCCTGTGGCAGACCCCACTTGCTGTGAATTAGCTGAGACTGTCACTAGTCCTGCTTGGCCACTCTCACCTTAGCCTTTGCAGTATCTCCTCACTCGACTTTCCTCTGTCAGCTCTCTCATTACAGCCTTACCATCTTTCATTGTTTGAAAGGGATCCGCTAAAGGGTATTTTTTTTTAAGGCTCAGCGCCTAGAGCCACTTAATTACATGATAATCTTAGCTTTTGTTTAAAAAGAAATGCACTAAGCTCTCATGATGGTGTGGAGAAGATGGTACGTTTGAACCTCTGGGGTTTGCAGAAGGCATATAAAAATACCTAGTACGTACATATACATATATATATTTAATTTCATGGTTTGGAGGTGGAAGACTAGTGTTTTACAGTATTGCAAGATTGGCAATAGCGTACTTGGCTTCCAACAGGACTGACTTTTCTTCTCTTGGCCCTTGTTTATTTCTGCAGACTGATGTGCTTGTGGCTTGGCAAATAAGTCTCTCTGGACCATTGTAATACTTTATTGGTGCATATACAACTATTGGGACAACAGCTGTAAACCAGAAGTGAATTCTTATTTTCTTTTTGTTTCATACTTTGGCATAGTAGATATTGGTATTTTCTGAAAAGGCCACAAAAAGTCTTACATTTCCTGGTATGAAAAACATGGGTAGAGAAAACAAATACCTCCAATCACTGGCCTTTTAACCTAATGGCCCTTTCTACGATGGATGACTTTAATACCTTTTTGTGCTTGCAAGGCCACATATTTCTTTCTGAATGTTACTCTAAATGCAGGGGTCATATTAGGCCAAATATGATTGTCCTCGTCTAGATTTTATCTGCTTTCTGTGGTAGGAGAACCGGCTTCCAAGAGCTCTGTCTGGAGGGCTCACTACCTTTCTGCAGCTTTCTCAGCTTACCCGGCTGTGGTTTTCTTTTCTCCTTCTGTTTACAACACATGATATGCTTTTAGATGATGACAAAACTCAGTTTTTCATTACCAGCACATGCAAAATACCAAAGAGCATGCAAAGGTGCCAAGGAGGGAGAAAGGGAGAGACTAGTGCTGTGTGCCTCACATGGGCTTCACGCTCAAGAATGACACTGGGACTCCTTCAGAGGGTTTTACATGTCATATTTCCACCCTACATCTTTAATGAGATGGTTACCCAGGACTCTTTCCCTGTTTGGTGTTGTTTCTGGTTTTGTAGATGTCAAGCTATCAGTACAGAACAGTTTGCTGGAATACAAGGTCTTTCTTACAATTTTGTCCCATCGCATAAATCATTGCACTTCAAAGAAGCTGTTTGGTATCCAGGCACGCTGCGATGGGATTATGAAGTGTTTAAATCATCTAAAGGCCCTTACCCTGCAGTAGCCAAGACAGGTACCTGTTGTAATTTGTCATAAATATTTGAGATGAAGTCAGCAGTGGCCAAACTTCATCAGCTACAGGCATATAAACATGAAAAAACCCCAAAACAACCAAAAGTAACACTGCATAAAATGGTGGGTATCTTCTGATGAAAATATGACAGACCCAGCTGGAGAGAGGACAGCTTAGCTTAGCTAGAGATTAGATTAGAATTTCTTGCTTTGCTTTGGATGCATGTGCAGCTTTTGCTTTACCTATTAAACTGTCTTTATCTCAGACCATGAGTTTCCTCACTTCTACCCTTCTGGTGCTGTTCCCCATCCTACTGAGGGGGACAGAGTGAGCAGCTCTGTGGGGCTTAATTGCTGTTAAACCACATCACAGTCCTCTACTAGGTTGGCAGTCCTGTTCTCTACATTTCTCTTGCTGTTTATTCTTTCCTGAGCATGGAGTGCTTCAGAGACACAGCTCTGGTGGTGAGGCAGCAGTCCTGGAGAGAATGGAGGATATCCGTGAGGGTGACACTGGCCTCTAAGGGAGTTGTGATTTATGGAGACATACTCCTTTTCTACTGGAGTGCTGGGAGGAAAGCAGACCCCAGAGCTGCTGGAAGACATTCTGAGAAATCTCAGTAAGTGGTTTCTTGGCCTCAGTGTGGGCTTTTTTTTCCTCTTTAAAGGTACAATTTAACACTTTAACTATGAATTGCTTCATTCAGAAATTTCTGCCTTATGCCTCAAACATTGATGGCACTTAATAAATAAAGTGCTGCCTCTCTTCTTCTCTGCTCCCCACTTTTTTTTTCCCCCTCTGCTTTTTGACCGTTTGCTCTCAGTTCAGCTGCAGAACTCATATGCCTTTAGTCCAGGTAACCGCTGAACACCTCTCAGTCTTCCTCTGTAATAACTTTTCCCTTTTAGTTCTTAATTTTCAGTGCAAAAGTCTGTTTTATGTGGAAAGCAACAGGACAAAAGCAGGATGACTGGAAAGAAGGTAAAACTGAAAAGGCATGGGATCAGCTGTCTTGGCTTTTGTTCAGTGCTTATTTATTAAAAGCCCTCGTATTTAAAATGTAGAAGAAGCTTCTGCAGAACACACCATCTCCTGCACCAGATAACCTAAGACTGCTGAAACTGTAGTTGATAAAGCTGGTTTAAATTTTGTACGAAGTATGCTTAATTTTGAATATGTTCATTAATTTTAGATGGAACTTCTTTTCATTTAACATTTAAATGCTTGTCATTTGTTACTACTTCATTAAGAAATTAACTGAGATCTGACACTGAGTACTTAAGGTCTCTGTCCCAAAGAGCTTCTCCTCTAGATACACGAGACAGCACCAGACGGGAAAGGAAACAGAGAAATAAATAGATGCAGGAATTTGTCCTAGGACAAATGGCAGGACAGTAGCAGTGATGTGATGAGAAACTGAGTCTCTTAGCACCTAAGTCAACAGCCTTTTCACTGGGCTGCAGTAATAACAGCAGTGAGTCTAACAAGGAGGTAATTTTGGTATTCATAGCAAGATTAACCAACACACCATGTCCAGTAGAGACAACTCAGAATTCATATACACAAAGGGCACAGTTGTAACATATTCACTGAATCCTTTTAACCTTTTTCCATTTATGTCTGAATAATAACACTTAGAAATATGCAAAACTAGGGCTTAACAAGCTAGAAGATTCAGATTATGGATGTTACTGTGCTCCTTCAAGTTCATTAAATAGCATGCAAGGTAATTATCAGTCATTGAGTTTCCCCTGCTCAGAGATAAACCAAAGGGGCACAATTATGGCTGCAAAATCCAAGAGGAAAAAAGAAACAGTTTTTAAAAAATGTAGCAAAAGCACAGCACAGGTGGACTGTTCCGAAAGGATCACCAGGCCATGCAGCTCTGCAGAAGATAAGCAGGGACTCCACTGCGACATGAGTGAGTCTTAACGTCCAGAGATAAGAGAAAGCAGAATTTACCTCTTAAATGTGACAGAGGTGAAAATTACTATTTCCACACCACCCTTTTACAGGTGAGGTAGAGAAGGACAGCAGATTGCTCACTGGCCTGGATTACAGAAGAGCTGGGGTTCCTTTTCAGCTTGGACAAGTCTAGTAGCTGTATCCTCTGTCAAGACTTCGTACACTTGGTACAGCTTTCCCACATAGAGCACTCAGACTCCTGTTGGTAAGATCTGGTTTTGTTCAGGAAAACCTTGGAGCAAACCTTTGTTTTCAAACAGCTGCCATCTAACTGAATTGATTCTCTGCTAGTGGTAAGGGTTGCCTTCTGGATTAAAAGATGCACTTTAAAATAAAGCTTGGGTTATTTTTTTTTTATTGGGGGGGAGGTGGGAGGGGCACAACTAAAACTTTAGAACATTTTCAGATGACCACTGTATGAACAATACTGTAAGGAAACCAGCAGATTTTGGATGTGAAGTTTCAAAGAGCCTCTTCACAAAGGAGAGCCATCACAGTTTGCCTGTGAGGAAATTGGAGGGACAGGGCATAACCAGCTGCCCTCGAATGTGGCTCCATTTTGTATGTCTTCTTCCTTTTCTTCTGGCAGGTCACTGGTCATGCTGACAAAAGTATTCAATGTGGAGGAATCCAACAAGATTTCCAAACCATATGTCTTTCTTCTGAGCCCTTCATCTACCCAGAGCACCTGCTCAGAGCTGCCTACTCTACAGGAACAATGGTAGGGGAAAAACTCCTGCATTGGCAGAGGGTGCCCTAGATGACCCTCCAGGTCTTCTTCCCTGATGTGTTTGTTCATTCTGAAGCACACACCTGAGCATGCTGTAGCACTGCTAAAAGCTCAAGCACAGACAGAGCAATGTGGGATCCACATTAGGATGGAGCAGAGGGACAAAAATGCATCCAAAATATGGCTTTTTCTTCAGAAGGAGCTGACTCTTTTGCAAGACCCCCATGGCACATCAAAGCATTTTGTCAGAACTTCAGAGCATAAACTTATCTCCTGAGAAAATAGATGGACAGAAGGTTGCTATGGCCATCTGAGTAGTGAAAACAAACACAAGTAGGAGTAAACCAAAGAAAATTTTTCTTCTTTTGTGTCCTCTGTGTGCATGTTTGTTCTGAAACCACTTGTTCAACTGCCTATATGAATTAGAAGGTAGATATCTGATCCTGAAGCTCTGGCTTGAGGGTATGAAACCACTACTTGTACCACTTGAGACACAGGTTCCTGATGTCCCTGTCGGTAGAATTATAGCCCATTTCCAAAGATGTTGGAAACTCCTGATGAAGTTAGGCACTGCACATTTTCCGTGTGGAATTAGCTGAACTTTCTAACATTTTTCACTTTCTAACAGTGATCACTGTATGAAACATATTTAGTGTGGAAAAACTACTAGAATACTAAGAAGAAGGGATGGAGTTCAAAGACTCAGCTGGTACATACTCAGATTTCAGTGTCTAAATATGAATAGCCCTGAAATAAATGCTTAAAGCAAAATTGTAAAGCTTAGTTGAGGGCAGCTTCAAGATCCAAACCTAGAACTGCCTAGCAATTTCGTGGCTGGTCACTGTTGTGGGTTGCCCTGCCCACAGGCAAAAATCAAGAGAAAAAACAAAAAAGCAGATTTCCAACTTTGATGCCTGTGTCAGTCCTTACCAGGAAGAGCAGGCTTGTGGCTGTCACAGCACACTGGAGGTCCAAAGACCTTGGTTACCATCCTAACATTTGGACCTTGGGAACTAGCTCTCTCCTGGAGACAAACTCATTTTTCTCTTTGCAATACTTCCATACAATACTTCCCTAAACAGTAAGAATAAAATCTGTATGATACTTAGTCACATTATTAATGACTCTATATTAAAGCCATTTAGTGAAACAAAATCTCCAGTACAAACCTATATAGCCTTCTCAGTTTAAACATAACTTCCTGTATCCATACTACTTCCCTGAAGTTCGAACTCCACAGAGGAGCAAGCCAGGATGCTTCTAATGTGATAATTTTGTGTTTCTGGTGGCAAAAGGTTCCTTTTCCTTAAAGAGGAAAAAAAAAAATTTCTTAGTGTGTTGAAAACCAGCCACACAAAGACCAACATTCCCTGCTGTTTGCCTTAGGAAAAAGAGATGTACTCATAAAATGCAGATGATGAGTAGCTTTCTTGTAGTCACAAGTCAGTGTACGCAAGGCACTAACATATGTTATTTGCTAAAAACAAATACCTAAATTCAAATTAGTTCTGGCTCAAGACTACTTTTATTAGTGATTAAAACATAGCAACTTCTTCATCAGCTCTCAGATCTAATTTTAAATAGGTTCAAAGTTAATCTGAATGCCATAAGAGCTCACTTTTTTTTAAAGTTGATTTTTTCCTACATTCAAATTCTTCTATAATTAAGATTCACTGTTATTATATCCTTTATTTATGTCTATATTTTGTTACTGTTGGTGATTTAGAGGATCTACCAGGTTAGCAGTCCCATCATAATTGCTTGGTTTATGTCAAAAGTATTCATGATCCCTAAGTGCGCTGTTCAGGCCCACAGCATTTAAACTTCTAACATCAGGCAAGGATGGAGCCATTATAGCCAGTAATGCCAAGGCACAAACAAGATTAAGGTAATAAATATCAAATATCAAAGCAGCTTCAACACAGCATATATCAGTCATGGAAAGAAAGAATTTTTCTGATTCATCATCAACTCCAAAGAATAAAAAGCCTTTCTGACCACTTAAATGAAATATTCTGTTTCATCTCCAAATGAACTGTTTTATTTTGAAATTGAGATTTTAAAAAATGTTTTCAATTTTATCTCAAAGTAAGCGGAAAGGCATCTAAAAACAAAAAGAAACACCAAATCTTTATTTTTGAAAATGTTACAAGATAGGAGTTCAATTTTCAGGGAATTTCTCCTTAGCTTTTTGTATGAAAATAATTTGGTGAAGAGGGACATTCCTGGAAAACTTCAGGATTTCCTTTTTTTTATTTTGGCATTACACTGATTACCTTCTTTGAAATAAAACTCATTTTGAGATAGAATCAGTTCTGTGTTTTCCACAGATTTGGCAGCTGGTGGAAAATTATTTTCTCCATTGTCTTGAAGAACAGAAAGATGCTTCCTGAGGATGGAGTATTAGATAGAGTGTTGGTCAAGCTGAGAGAATTAAAAAAAAAAAAAAAAAGAAAAAAAAGGAAAAAGGTAATTACATAGTAAAATCACAGAATCACAATTCTATGGTTGGTTTATAGTGCTTTTCTTTTGAGACTTAAGAGAAAATCATATCTACCCCTGTTCCTCTACAGAGGCAATCCTTTCAACAGCAATGTTTCATGCCATGCATGTGTGTAGGTGTGGATGTTCTACTGGAAGGTTTAGAGGAGAAATTCTGTAGCAACCACACTGATCTTGCAGAGCAACAGGCAACAGTTGCCTTTCAGATCTGTTTCTTTCTCTTCCAGTATCAAATATTGTCTTGTAATTACTGTGACTTACTTGTATCAGAAATGCCAGTGTGAAGAAGAGTTACAGAAAAATGTTTTTATCAGCTTCTTGAATGAAAGAAATGCACCCTGTGCCATTCTATTCTTTGTCCCATTACAACTCCATCTCTTATCATCCCTCCCAAAGAGATTTGGTTTGGTGCTGGGCAGTCTGAGAACCACAGCCTTGATCTGTAATTTCTAAATGTGGGCAGAATGAATGACTAAGTACTTAAAGGTTACAAACTTGATGTTAGGGATAATATCCACGTTAGCACATTAGGGCTTAATCAGTATTCAGGTCATACTCTCCTGAGATGCGTTAGATGCCCTGTAGAGCTTACACCAGGTTGGAGCTCTGAATCTCTGGTGTTTAGGTCTTTCTCTTCCTGAGTGAATGCTAGGCTGATGTTATCAGCACTTCCTCTTCTTGTCTTGTCATCAAAAAGACATATGCACCAGCCAAGTCACTTGGCCTCATATCTGAATCCTGCACCAATACAGGAGGGTGAGCTACTGCCTGGGAGATGAACTGGCTGCCTGGGAGAAGGACACTGTTTTACCTGTGCCTTACCTGTCTTTGACAGCTTCAGCTGACCACACTGAAGCTTCTCACAGTTGTGAATTTAATCATTCAAGTCTGATTGCAGTCATGCCTGCAGCTGACTGCTTGGTTTTGCAGTAGAGCAGGAGCAGGTTTCGTGATGTCATTGTTGTTCTTTGGATTAAGCCTCAAGAAACTATTTCCAGGACTGAAGCAGCAATCTGTCATTCATGCCCATCTTCTAGATGCATAAAAAGCGAGAAGGAAGGACATGCTGAGCCTCCCCAAATCCTCATGTTGGTGTGTTCCTTTTCATCACTGAATATCAAAGTATTCAAAGTTAATCCTGCAACTATTTCTGCAGGACAAACAAGTCTGAGACAACTGAATACACAGAAAAGAACCTCTTCCCCTCGAAACAGGGAGGTGCTTTATAGCAGAAACTCTGCTATACATGTACACACACACTTCCAGTAAACCACTGAAATCAGAGAACAATGACAGGGGCTATATATATATATATTTCCCCCCCCACTCCCCTTGCCTCCTTGGAAAAATGAGTGTGGGTGGAGACAGACACTTTGGCTCCACATTCACCTAAAAGCCTTTCAAATGCCCTGCACATTGAGCAACATGGAGAGGCAGCAGTTTCTATCTTCATTTCTGAATGTTGACAGGGAGAGAGGAGAATTTTAACTGGATCAGCTTGTTTTCTGTGGTGAGGCACAGTTTGCATGGGTGTAGCAGAAGCGAGGTGGATGCATAGCTGTGAATGATGGCTGCCATGACACAGGGAAACAGACACGAACTCAGTCGTATTTTCATGTGGATGAACTTCTAGCTAATGCTCCAAATCCCAAACTGAATCCAAGCCTGAGCTGCCACATTCAAGTAGTGTGAAGTTTCAGGTCTGGCTCGCATCATTCCGTGATGCACAAGCGGTTGCCTGTGCAAATGGAAAGGTGTTGGATCTCCAAAGTTGCTTCAAGGAAGGAAAAGGATTGTTTGGCGAGATGCCAGGCAAAACCACTTCCATGTAGGCCCTGTCAGTGGGGTCTGTACCAAGATGTCCTGCCCATCTCTGGTTTTCACACCATTTCTCCACTGAAGGAAGATCTCTGTTATTTTTGTTGTTTGGACTGCACACAGTTGACCTTGTAGTGTCCTGTCTGCATGAAAAAAAGGACCAAGCCCAGGAAGTGGATCTGGTTTAGGGGAAATAGAAGAAAAACTGGCCCTGAGTGGAAAGCTGCAGCATACTGCTTGCTTCTAAGATCAATTTGCCGAGATGAAATGTTCTGGAGGCAAAGGGATTACACCAGACGTGAACCTGTCTTGCTGTGTTTTGTAAAAAATTGGGTGTGTAAAGTACAGCTGCCTTCAGGCACGTTCAGCTTGCAAAACCTGTTAATCTTGGTAGAAAATAGGATTTACTGCCCTCAAATGCACCATGAGAGCTCTGCTCCTGTACAGGGTAGTACTTGTGTTCTTAAAAATAATTTTTACCTGTATTTTAAAATGTATACAAATTAAAGAAAATGCTTTTCCTGCCTCAGAAAACACTGAAGAAAATCCTGGCCAATTTGAATACATCTGTATGCATCCATACATGCTCACTGAAATATTATTGATATTTAAGACAATTTCATTTTTCCTTCAGGACTGAGTTTCTCTGTCCATTCCAATGGCTCACAAAC